AAAGGACAGAAGAGGCTGTCGGATCCCCTGGAACTGGAGTTATGGACAGTTGTTAGCTGCCATGTGGGTGCTGGGATTCAAACCTCGGTCTTCTGTAAGAACAGTGTTCTTAACTGCTGAGCCATCGCTCCAACCCCATGATTTAGTTTTCTACTCAAACAAAAATATGACGGAGAGCAGAGAAAAACCACAACTGGTAAGAAAATGAATGATTATGTTTTCTTTCTTTCTTAATACAAGATCTAACTAGATAGCCCTGGCTGGCCCAAAACTCACAGAGCTTTTCCTGCTTCTGCCTCCTGAGTTCCTGGGATTAAAGGTATGTGCCATCATACCTGTCATAAATTAACAAGTTTGCAACTATTAATGAGCTGCCTAAAAGACCAGTTCTATAAGTATCAAATTCTAAGGATGGTATATACTGTCCACTATATAGTAAGAATTTTGGAAACCTTCACCTGATTTAGAAACACAGCTTTTATTTTTTCTTTTTCTTTAGAGACAGTCTCCCTATAGCCACAGCTGGCCTGGAACTCATTATGAAGACCAGGGTGGCCTCAATCTCAGAGATTCAACTGCCTCTGCCTCCCAAGTGCTGAGATTAAAGATGTACACCACCAAATCCCACCTAGAAAAAGTTTTTACAGACCTTTTATGCCAGGCGTGGTGACGCAACACCTTTAATCCCTGCACTCTCCAGGCAGAGGCAGACAGATCTCTGTGAGTTTGAGGCCAGCCTGGTCTACATAGTGAGTTCTGGGACAGCTGGGGCTACAGGGAGGCCCTATCTCAAAAAAGACAAAAAAAAAAAGCTTTTATATTCTGGACCAGAGGAGTTTCTATCAACTTTTTCAGCATTTTCTATTAAGATTAGGATCAACAATTATGTACTACAATAGCTATAGGATTTTACTCTATGGCTAGTTCCTTTCAGGTAATAGAAGGTACAAGGGAATGCATGTAAACACACTAAAATATACTTGGTACAAAGGATACAAACTATTAAGTGATAATAGTTAAGTGACAGAGTTTCTGATTCAGTCAGGGTTTCTCTAGTTAGTCCTGGCTGGGAATAACTAGGGGCTCCAAATTCAACATTTACAAGAATACTGAGTATAAGGAGTAGAAGGGATGAAACTCACGTGTTAACAACTCCATTGACAGGTCTCAATGCTCCACAAGATTTAGTAGACAATGACTCGGAAATATGGCCCACAGGGGCACCATGGTTTTCTAATGGCTGAGAAATGGACTCAATCTGAGTAAAGGAAAGGAATAAAAAACACACATTAACATTTACCCCAGCAACATCACTTCATTTGTAACTTTTAAAAGGTCCAATAAGGTTACAGCAAGACCAGTATTAAGACAGATAAAGGTAAATTTAAATGTAGCCAACTCTGGTGATGACCATGAAAATATGGTTTTCAAAAACTGTATTTCATTTAAAAATAAACATATATACACATAATGCATACATTATTCTTTGGGAGAAAATTAAAATTACAATTTCAAATTAGAGCTAGGAGGATGGTTTAACCAGTGAAGTGCTTGCCACACACAAAGAGTAACAGAGTTTAGAGCCCTAGCATACACATTAAAAAGTAGTATGTGCCGGGTGTGGTAGCACACGCCTTTAATCCCAGCACTCGGGAGGCAGGGGCAGGTGGATCTCTGTGAGTTCAAGGCCAGCCTGGTCTACATAGTGAGTCCAAGGACAGCTGGGGCTACAGGGAGACCCTGTCTCAAAAAGATCCTCCCCAAAAAAAGTAGTATGTGGGAGCTAGAGAGATGGCTCAGTGATTGAGAACATACTGCTCTTGCAGAGAGACAGGGATTTGGTTCCCAGCACTTACACTGGCAGCTTCACAACCACTTCTAACTCCAGTTCTAGGGGATCAAACTCCCTTTTCTAACCTCCAGAGGCACTATACGCACATGCCACACAAATGCATAATTAAAAAAATAAAGAAAATCTTAAAAAATAAGCTGTGTGCAGTAACACACACTTAGCAGAAATAGGGACAGGTGGATTCCTGGAGCGTGCTAGCCAGTCAGCCTGCCTGAATCTCTGACTTCCAGATTCGGCAAAAAAATAAACTGGAGGGCAACTAAGGAAGATATCCAATGACAACCTCTGCTCCCCTGCCCCATAACACATATAGACAAATCTCAAATGAATGTAATTATCTGACACTATTGTCTTATTTATCTTTGTGATGCTATGGATCAAACCCATAGCCTTATGCACGTTAGGCTGATGACAATCTTTATACAATCAACTCTATGTTTAGAATATAAATAAGGAAAATGTGTAAAGAAACTACATAGTTTTATGGGCTAGAGAGATGGCTCAGTGGTTAAGAACACTGACTGCTCTTGCACAGGACCTGGGGTCGATTCCCAGCACCCACATGGTGGCTACGAACCATCCTTAACTCTAGGTTCCAGGGGAATCTGAAGCTCTCTTCTGAACTCGGTGGCACTGCATGACACGGGTGTCCTCACATACATGCAGGCAATATACATACACACAAAATAAAAATAATAAATAAGGGCTGGAGAGATGGCTCAGCAGTTAAGAACACTGGCCGTTCTTACAGAAGACCTGGGTTTGAATCCCAGCATCCACATGGCAGCTAACAATCGACCTTAACTCCAGTTCCTGAGGATCCAACCACCTCTTCTGTCCTCTGCGGCATTGCAGGACATGGGTGCACTTATCTACATGCAGGCATAACACTCATACACATAAAATAAAAAAAAAGTTTGTTTTTTTTGGGGGGGGGGTCTTTTTGAGACAGGGTCTCCCTGTAGCCCCAGCTGTCCTGGAACTCACTATGTAAACCAGGCTGGCCTTGAACTCACAAAGATCAGCCTGCCTCTGCCTCCCAAGTGCTGGGATTAAAGGTGTGTGCCACCACGCCCCACTAATAATTTTAAAAATAAACAGTTAATAAGGAATACCTATTTTAAAATTAAAATTTCCTTTATGGTTTAGGTAAGTATTTTTACTTTACAAAAGGGAGCAGGGCTGGGCAAGTGACATAAGTCTGCAATCCACATACTCAGGATGCAGAAGCACAAAGATCAAGAGTACAAGGCCACTCTGATCTATATAATCAAACATGGTCACAAACAATGTAATACCAGAGAAGAGCAAATAACCTGAAATGCTTGTGAGGGCTTACTATTTATGAGGAGCCTCAAAAAGCCTAAACAAGTACTATAGCAGGAAAAGGGAATGAGGTGTGAGGTATGGGGGGACTGCAATTTCAGCATTGAGGAAGTCAGGCATGAGGATCAAGGGTTCAAGGTCATCCTTAGCTACATGAGACTATCCTTAAAAAAAAAAAAAAAAAAAAAGCCAGGCGTGGTGGCACACACCTCTAATCCCAGTACTTGGGAGGCAGAGGCAGGCGGATCTCTGTGAGTTCAAGGCCAGCCTGGTCTATATAGTGAGTTCCAGGACAGCTGGGGCTACAGGGAGACCCTGTCTCAAAAAGACTCCCCCCGCCCCCAAAAAAACCCAGAACAAAAAAAAATAAAAGGTTGAGGTCAGCATTAACTGGCAAATATGGAGCTTCGCATGTTATAGGTTTTATCTAGATGTCAAGCAGTGTGGTTTAGAAGACGTTCTAACTCAACTTGAAAATGCTATGGCTGTCAACGCTTTGCTGGCAGTCAATTTCATCCTCACTTAAAATACAGCCAAGTATGGTGTTATTCATTTGTGATCCCAGCACTCACAAGGCAGAGGCAGGCAGATCTTTGTGAGTTCAAGGCCAAACTGGTCTACCTAGTTTCAGGCCAGCTGGGGCTACAGGGAGGCCCTGTCTCAAAAAGATACCCCTTCCCCCCCGCAAAAAAAAAAACAACAATAAAGTTCAAATGTTTATTCTTTAACGTGAATTTTTATTTTCATAAAGGAACCCAAATTTTCCTAGGGTAATTAAATCCACAAACCAAAACTGAAGTCAATAGGCAAATACTAATATTTAGCACAGAAGTGTTGCCAAGAATACTCAAACACATAGATATCAAGACCGCAAAGAGAGAACTGTCAGGACTCAGTTCCAGGCACACAAAGAAGCACTGGAAGCTGAAGAGAGATCTACTACACTGAGAACCTTGCAGGAATCCTACAATCAATTTGAACTCCAAAAGCACGGCATTTGAATAAACAGTTCAATCATTCTCAAATGCAGATGTTTTAAAATATTAACCCAATGATAGTGTTCCATTTAGAACAAGAAGCCAACAAACGTGTAATTTCACTCATAGTCCCCTAAACTCATTCACACATATTGCCTTAAAACAAAGAGAACACATTTCATCCTTCAGTTTAAAAAACCTTCAAAACACATTAACAAACATTTCAATTGGTGACAAATTCTGACATACTTTACTAAAGCTTGATCACTGCTACTGAGTAGTTCACATCACTAGGGCCTTCAGAAAACTAAAACATGCCTCAAATGTCTTAAATACCAGGAAGAACCAAATAACCAACTTCCTTATCCAGAGAATAGTGGTCACCAAAAGAAGATTCCATATAAATTTTATTTGATGCTCAGACATATTCTAATGATTTATTCAGATAGAAGAGCAGACCGGTTAGACAGTAGATAGAATAATCCCCTTCTCTAAAGCAAGGCAACAAAGGATTACTTCTTGGTGTAATCTTAAGAATTATAGGTAGGCGGGGCTGGAGAGATGGCTCAGTGGTTAAGAGCACTGGCTGCTCTTGCAGAGGACCCGGGTTCCACTCCTAGCACCCACTTGGCAGCTACAAACCACCCTTACACCCGTTCCAGGGGAATCCGAAGCTCTCTTTTGACCTCCGCAGCACTACACGACAAGGGTGCTCTCATATACTTGCAGGCAATACACTCATACACATAAAAAATAAAAACATTTTTTAAAAAAAGAATTATAGGTAGGGGCCAGGCATGGCGGTCCTTTATTTTTAAAGCACTTGGGAGGCAGAGGCAGTAGATCTCTGTGAGTTCCAGGCAGCCAGGGCTACGCTGGTGAGAACGTTTATCTAAAAAACAAACAGCCGGGCATGGTGGCGCACACCTTTAATCCCAGCACTCGGGAGGTTATTTTGATATATCACAGTGAAAGATTTATCGTCCTCTTTTTTTTTTTTTTTTTTTTTTTTTAAAAAAAAAAAAAAAAAAAAAAAAAAAAAAAAAAAAAAAAACCCCACCAAACAAATAGAAACACCAAACAGCAGCAAGGGATAACGTAATGTTTTGTTGCTCCATGTTTTTTGTTTTTCTGACAGGATCCCATTATGTAGCCCTGGCTGGCCTGGAACTTACTATGTAGACCAGGCTGGTCTCAAACTCAAAGAGATCTATCTGGCCCTGCCACCAAAACGCTCAGATTAAGGTAAAGTCTCTACACCCAGCCCTGGTTTTTTAATTGAAAGGGTCCGATTTAAGGTATAAAACAATTAACAGAGCACTGAAAAAGCAGGCATGAGACATGAGAGGCTGCCCACCTAGCCAAAGGGAGAAGTGTGGGAGAAAGCCTTTGAAGAAAATCACATAATGCAGAGGTTTTAATGAGATTTTTTTTTTTTTTTCTGGGATCTAAAAACCAGTGTCTAGCTAGGCATAGTGATACACACCTGTAATTATGGCCCTTAAGAGGCCAAGGGAGGAGGATTGCCTGGAATTCAAGGCCAGTCTGGGCAACATACCAAGAAAACAAAAAAGAAAACTGTATATACTTTAGTCTTTCAATTAATGTGTATCAGTGTTTTGCCTGTCAGTATTTTGCCTGTGCGAAACTGTGTAAGTGTACCGTGTGTATGCAATGCCCGTGGAGATGAGTAGAGGGCATGAGATCCTCTAGAACTGGAGTTAGGGATAGTTGTTAACCACCATGTGGATGCTGGGGACAAAACCTGGGTGGGTTCTCTGCAAGAGTAGCAAGTGCTCTAATCACTGAGCAATTCTTATAGCCCTCATATCACATCTTGAAATACCATTTTCTTAAATGTATTACTTTGTTTGGTTAGAAAATAGTTGTTTGGGCTAGTTATTCCCTTTCTGACAAACATCAAAATGACAAGGTGATCTTGGTGATAAGAATTAACTCGTACTTGCAATTTAAATCAGTTTAAAACAACTTTCTAATGAATTGCTTCCTATCTTAAGCACTGTCACTTTAATGATACTTTGTGTCTATACGTATGTACAGTACAGTACAGTACAGTACACACACACACACACACACACACAC